ACAGATACTGTGCATTGTGCTGTTAGTGGCATACGTGACATGCCTTTGGTACTTACATCGCTAGCCCAGGTAATGTAACTGCAGCTGTCAAACTGGCAGTTCTTCATGTTTATTAGTTTTCTTTTTTTCTTTCTTAAGTTGACATTAGCCAACTAGGAAGTTTCCTAGTTCAGTGAAAAGTCAGTTGGTGGAGCAGCTGGAACTCCCAGGGAGCCAGGAAGTTACACAGGCCTCTCCTGAGTTCTGGGAGAAGCTTTGGAGGAGCCAAGAGCAAATCAACGTTCAGCCTGGTCACCAGAGCTGAAGAGTACACAACAGGTCTGGTACCTCGCTGATATCATCTTTTGCACAAGCTATCCAGAAGAGCCCCGAAAGTTGGCTGGTGTGGTAGACTTTTGTGTTACTCTTCTCATCAATTCTTTACCTATTATTATTTGCTTGAGCTTGATGCAACAGAGTGCTGTAGTGTGGCAGTCCCACACTCAATCCTACACTAGCATCACATATCTCAAGGTCTTGAAAGGTTTGGTTAATTTTCTCCAGGCCTGTGGACATTGCCAAAAAGAACTTGGCCTTCTATAAGACCAGGCAACCAGGTAGATTTCAATTTTGTTTGTTTTAAACTTGGAAAGCTGATCATCAGGGCTTATCCCATAGGAATGATATTTTGGTCAAGAGTCTTTTCTGCACCCTCAGCCATTCTTTCAGTAGTATTTCTGCCTTCTTTCTTGCCCCACTTGCACCACTCCAGAGACAGCAGGAGAAACTGTGAGAGAAGTTCGAGGTAGGAGTCAAAAGCCAATCTTCCATCATGAGTTCTAATCTGAGGGAATTACATAAGGCATGGGGGTCCCTGGGATTTACATGCTAAATTGCAGCATTACAGGTTGAGGGCAGCAGTACAAATTTTAAAATAGGCGTGGCCTAACATTGTGATTCTTATTTCAGTTGGTTTTCAAAGTCTCTGATTTGGTGATAGTTTTTGTTTGGTTGGTTGGTTTTGTTTTGTTTTAGTTGTCAAGAAAGTATTTCCCCTAGGGGACTGAGGAATGTCACTCTTACCTTCTTCCTAGGGAAGAAGAGTGGCAGCAGTGGGAAAGCTGGGCATGATTTGATCAGAGTGCCTTTGAAGAGGGAGCTTTGTGTTTTTCAAAAGTGGTGCTGGTAGGTAACAATAACAGTTGGCATGAGGTTGCACCTAGGAAATCAGCATTTGGGATCCACTTGGAAAGAATTCACACGAAAATATTGAGGCAATGATTCTGAGAGCCCAAATGGTACTGTCAAAACATCACAGGTGATCACTGCAGGGCAGTACAGAAGGTGTTAGAGAGCAGTGTCATTTATTGAAATGTATCTGCTGATTTAGCCTTTGCTAATTAAATGATCCCCATGATATGTGTTTACTTAGGGACAGTTGTGTGTTTGGTAGCAGCAGGGGTTTGGTCCTGTGGGAAGTGCTGTTCCTGAAGAAAGAAGATACAGCATGGAGGAGGGGGTCGTACATAACTTTTTCAGGGATGCTGGCCTTTTCAATATGTGAAGTCTTGGCATGATTATAGCTTTTTCAGTCTTTTTTTCCCTACTGTCCTCCCACCTCTCTTGTGTTTCTTGGACAAGGCAGGCTAGCAAACAATTTAGCACTTAAGGAACACTTTCTCTATTTTGTTTATCAGCTACGGCTCCCTGCTGTCACTGTTGTCCTGTGGGAATGTGGGTGGGCTTGGGAGGAAGAAGGAGAAACAAGTACAAGGAACCTCAAAGACTTGTCTTGGCTAGCCTTCCTGGTGTCCCAGAACAGCAGCCAGGATGGTGGAAGCAAGAGCCCACCCCTGCTCAGCAGGCCTGGGAAAAGGGGAGGAGGTGGGGGACACTTAGACATATATTGGGTGGCTATTTGGGGCAGAAAAGAATTTAATTTCAGGAAGCTGTCAACATAATATACCTCACCCTAGTTCTTCCTCTTGGAAAATTTATAATACATAGAATTATATGCCACTATTAAACTAATCAACTCAAGCTTAAATTCCACAAGGGCATGGTCCGTCTTTAAAACATTCTCAGTCCTTAACACAATGCTGGGCACACAGCCAGCACTTGTTGATTTCCCAAGGGAAGGGGTTGAGTTTTGTATAATGAGGTCATCTTGGCAAACCTTTGAACTGCTCTGTGACTCTGCTTCCACATCTGCAAAGTGTCTTTACCTCCCAGGGATATTGTAAAGATTAAATAATATGATGACTTTCATAATGATACTTTCCAGTTTTGTGCTCTTTCCTGTATTTTCATTCTTAGATTTTTTTTCAAACTCTAGGCATTATAATCTAAATAAGGTGATCAGGTATGTGGGCAAGAAAGGTTCATATGAATTTAGCTATTTTTTTTTCTTGGTACAGAGTATACATGCTTGTCAGAGAGAGAGAGACAGAAGGAGAGAGAGAGAGAGAGGAGAAAGTACCCTATGGGGAATGGTCACACTAAATCCCTTCACCTCCATCTTTCCCTCTTTTTGGGATTTTTGGGCATGCACACACACACACACACACACACACACACCTGGCAAGTTTCTCAATATTCCAGGCTTAGACTCAAACTGTACATTTGGCCATGTGGGATCTGGCTATCTTAACTGCTAGCCCACAGAACCATCCTGTCTTAGGCTAATTTTTAAATCAAAAAAATTTTTTCCCTCTAAGAGAACCTCATCAAGAATCTGGCTAAATTAGTTGGGTGGAATGGGATGTCCACGAGACACAGCAAAAGCCAAGATAGATGATACACTTTTGTGCATCTAGGGCAAAGAAGAGAGATGGGAGAGGAGAAAAAGGAGGGGGAAGAAAAGGGGACAGAGGGAAGGCAGAGAGAGAGGACTTACTTGAAGGTTATTCTGTTTGGAGCTTGAGACAAACATTTTAAAAAACACATCTCAGAAAGCGCCCTGAAATTTGGCAGTGCTACACTCCCTCATATTTGAGTATTTCAGTTCTTACCATCAACTTGAACCATTCTGAACAAATCTTTTACCCTAACCTTATCATTTTTTAAAACATCATTTCTCATCTTCATTTTTTCTTCTTAATTCACATTAGAGTACGTGTTTACAAGAGAGAAAGAAAAGCACCTTCCACAGGGTCTGGTCATGCTGTGATCCCCTTCTTCCAGTCCTTCAGCCTGTTGGATCCTGGGTACTCTCAACAGTGCCTGGCACATTTTATTCAGGCTGACTGAATTGGAGATTTGAACCGTGGTCACCATGTGGGATCCTGCGTCTCCTGAGCTGTGACATTGTGTCACAGAGCTGGCCCACCCTTACCAATCTTGAGGCAGCAAGAATGACTCTCCAAATGGTGTGATTTAAAACTAAAGATTTCCCCATTTTGGTCTTTTTCTTTTATTGCCATTCAGTACTATTTTAGTGGCATGACCAAAACTTTAAAGAAAGAAAAATTCTTTACCAATTTTGATTTTGGCCACAGTGACCCAAGTCGTTGAGTTGGCCTAGAGAGCTATCTCAGGTGCATAACATCAGAATTGGTACCCAGGGTCTAATGTTTCTGGGCTGCAGTTGGATTACAAAAATACTGAGGATGGTCACTAGATGTCCCTCTTGTGTCTCTAAAGAGGCTGAGGAGGCGGGGCTCCCTTCACTATTGAAGTAATCGGAAGCTAAAACGGAGAGAAGTTTCTTTTCGTTTTATTATCTACATGCAGAATGGTTTTATTCAGTTAGTTAATAAATTCCCGGTCATGAAGGTGTTTTTGGCCACTCATTTAGTCAATAGTATTGTTGGAGCATAATGATCAAGTATGTCTGTTAGATAAAAAAGAGACTCTGAGCCAAAGGGTTTTAGGATTATCTGCAGAAATAGACTGGGGGATGGAAGAGCTATTTTGTGTCTGGGTGGGGGTGGGGGGTGTAACTGTCACTTTGAGCTTGAGGGTGGGGAGGGGGGGTAATGGGAAAGGAGGAAAGCACAGGCACACACCCTGCCTGGCTCCCTCAGCATCTGGCTCTTTTAAAATCGGTTTAGTAGCTGGAAGTACTTGGGTGCACTGCTTGGAAAAGGGGGCTTGAGTGTGAGCAGCAAGCAGGAAGCAGAGAACACGGTGCCGTCGCCTTAGCAAGAGCGTTTGTCTTTGCAAATGCAGAACATGTCTTTACAATGTGATTGCAATTACAAAGGTAATGACATTGTACATGAATTGAATTCTCCTATTTATCTTTAAAAGACAGCAGAATATAGACATTCTATTAGCGCTCCCTAAGGTAAGAGGTCCGCAGTCTTCTTATCTTGTTGTGTGCATCTTTTCAGATGCCACGGCAATGTTAATCATTTTACCTGAGTAAATCTTCCATTTCTCGTTACCTGGGGGATTGTTAATGGCCGAGACTACTTCTCAGACTCTTTGCTCCCGCTCAATCAAGCCGTGGAGGCGCCAGTTTACTTTTATTGATCAGCGAGTTCCTGACAGCCTTCACCACAAGGAAGCAGCATCATCCTTTTTTAACTTAAAGGGGAACAGATCGCCTTAAAGTTTACAGCTAAAAGCTTCTAAGCATAGAATGCAAACATTTTAGCATGCTGCTAATTGTTCTGTTTAAATAGTCCAAGCAATATTTTAGAAAGCTGCCAAACGCCAAACTTACATCCCGTGATCAGATAGCAAACCCATTTCAAATGCCTTTTTAAGCCTTTTTAATTAGACCAAGATGCACTTCATTCCCACTCGCTGACATCAAAGGTAAATAACTGTGATAAATCAAATGGAGCCCTTCCTTTCGCGGAGTCCGCCAGGTGCGCCCGCGCTGCCTGCCATGTTGTCACTCTCCACTACTTGCCCATTTCTCTCACGGTGCCTGCAGAAAACCAGCGGGTCAAGGGGTTCCCTGGAACTACCGCTTTGCCGTCCACCCGCAGCTCTAAATGGCCCAAATTAAATGATACTTATGGCAGACGCCTCGACTTTCTCTCTGATATTGGGAGCTGAACTGTATCCTAATGCGAAAGAGTGAAATGACCCCAAAGCGGAGAGCAGATCAGGCTCTTCGTGCTCTCCCCTTTGGCCCTGGCTGCAGGTTCAGGAGGTCTCAACCTCATTCATGAAATAATTCCTTTCTGTAGGAGGAAACTATCTCCATTCCAAACCCCACCCCAAATCCCCCCCCTACTGCCAAGGTATAGTCTGCTAAACTAACTCCTCTTGGAAGGAGATACATATATATGTACATATATACACACACACATACACACACGCATACATACATCTGGGTTGCTCTGCATGCAGATGGCAGTTTGAGAAAAAAAAAACCATAATGTGTCCAAACGCCTTTTTCATTATTTTGTTTGTTTAATGTTTTTACAGGGCAAAAGTGAGTCTCATTTTAAGCTCACAGGCTTGGGCCAGTGTCGCTGGGCTAATTATGAGTTTGCTCACTCAGGACTCTCAAATATCTGAGACGACTCGCTCAACGGGATTTTTACTAGTCCAAGAATTGTGTATTCAGATGCCGCCCCCACCCCACCCCCAATCTCCGATGGGAGGAAGACTTATTCAGCGGAGGTGCTTTCGATTCTTCCAGCCAGTGGCCTTAATTAAGAGCCTTAGATAGAAGTGAGGAGTCTCCCCCTGCCCCC